GCAGGTGGAATGGAAGGGCACCAGCGCCCAGCTCCCACACCGCCCAGTCTGCCAGTGTTGACAGTGTATGAATGGCAATCCATGGCTGATTGCCCCACGTCATTCCCATCCCTGTGTGCACGCCTCTCTGGGATATGGATTTGCAGCTCCTCCCACTAAAAAGCAACTGATGAATCAAGATGGTCCAAGTGACATGCTTTGGACAATGCCACAATGGAATGCATAATTCAAGCAGAGACTCCCAAAGTGCTCCTGTGCTATGGTTCACCTTCTCTCTGCTCTTCCTGCAACTGCTATGTGAAGACGCCTGGACCGGCCTACTTGAAGACACCTTGGCCTGCCCGAGAGCTAGTTAACCCCACACAGGTCCATGAAGCTATCAAGGCCGAGACCCAGAAGCTGGCTCAGACCCGAGAACTGTCTGCCTGACCTTCAGAACCAACTAAATAGTTGGTGTTTTAAGCTACTAAATTGTGGGCTAGGTTGATAAATCAGTTCAACTGACATAATCAATTTCTATGGGTAAAAGAGTAAAGGGGGGGGTTTGTGATGTGCTGAGTCAGCCTGTTGACTTTGTTGGTTGTAGGGGACCCCAGCAACAGGCAAATCAGGGGCCTGGATGAAGGATTGATTACTCCCACATTTCTCCTTCTCAATCCCCCTCCAGGCTGAGGAAAGGAGCAGAAGAGCAACAGAGAGGCCTCGCCCGCTGTTGTGCAGTGTCTGTGCTGTGGGAAGCAGGGAGCAAGAAGTGGTGCTGAGCCCTGGATCTATGGGGGCCCCTTTCTGTTTCTCCCCGAAGTAGCTGTTATGGCCATCTCGGGAGGAAATGGAGAGGGTGGAGGGAAGGAAAAGATGTGGGTCAATGGAGAGAAATGAGGAGCAAGGCTGGGGACGTTGCTCTCCTGTTGAAGTGGGGACTGGCCGTCAGAACCAGAGGGGTCCCCACCGCCCAGCCCTCTTCCCAGCGGCCAGGCCTGGGGCCCTGCGCACGTCTCACCGTAGCTGGTTCCTGGTTTGCTGTGGTAGAAATTCACATCATGGTACTGGGCTGCCATTATGGTTTGGATTCCTGTAGATAAAAGAAGAAAATCGCACAGTGTGGGGAAGGCAGAGGGACTGCAACGTCTGATCTGGCTGTCAGTGTTTTCTCCTGCTGTAAACCTCTCCTCTGAGGGCTCCTGCCTCATTTCCCAAAACCTCACCTCAACCCTCTGCCCTCAGTTTCACTTCTAGGTCGTTCCATCACCCCCCCCCCAACACACACACACACAAACCTCAGCGCGTCCTGGGTGCAGGCTCCAGCCAGGCCCCTCTCTCCCTGGTGGGCTGCTCTCACCAGCCTCTGCAGGCTACAGACCCCCTGCTGCGTGTTCCAAACCTCCGCCCTGCACTTTGGCCTCATTTGGCTGTTGCATGGGCTTCTCAGACAGAAGCTGGCCAAAAGGGAGCCCGGGTCCTCCACCTCCCACAGGATTCCTCTTCAGCCAGGGGCTCCCGCCAGACCCAGGGTCATGTCCTGCTCTTCTTTCCTCACCTGCATCCGCCCGCCCCGCATCCTGTTGATTCTGGCCCCCCAGATCTCAGAACTATTCGTGTCTCTCCGTCTCCCTGCTCCTCCTCTGCCACTGGTTTGCATGTATCACTTTCCTGACTGATCACCTTGTCTTCCTTCCCTTTCCAATTCCACCAGTTTTAAAACTAAAGTTTTACTTTTTTCTTTTCTTGCTCCAATCCCCGAGTTGCTGCCTACTGCCTTTAGAAAGCAGTTTAGATCCTCAGAATGACCCGGAAAGCCCTGCGCCATAACTTCCTTCTCCCATGGCTTTAGCCACAGCGGCTCCTTCAACGTTCCCAGAACCCTCTGGATTCCTTCAACTCTTAGCCCTTTGCAGACTCTTTTTTCTCCCAATTCAGACCAGTGCCCAGCTCATGCCCGCGCAGCCCTCAGGCCTCAGAGGTCTTCCACACCTCACCCAGCGCCATGGCTGACCACAGGCCAGCGCTGGTGAGCTCCCTGGCTGTGGGCTCTAACAGGGCCTCTTCATGTCAGAAGAGGAAGCTATTTGTAGGATGTTCTACTGGCCCCCATAAGCTTTGTGATGGGAAGACCATATGTCACCCCCCTTTTCTCTGGGGACAAGCATAATACAGGACAAAGGGTGGTCTCAATAAATGTTTGCTAAATAAATGAATTGATCAATAATCCCTCAGCTTCTGGCCCCTGTCTGATCACTATATCCAACCCTCGTCTACTCTGTAAAAATGACAATTCCTTCCTTGATGGTCAGCTCTTGGTGGCATAGAAGCTTGGTGGTCTTTTTTAAATGTTATCCTTCATTGCTGCCTCTGAACATTTTGAAAAACTGTCACAGGTGCAGACTTGAGCCAGGACAGTTTGAAAATGCTCTTGTTCAGGACAAGGTCACCAGGCAGGGAGCCATAAATTATAGATTTGAAACAGAAGGTCAAGCACTTCTTTTTGAAAAAGGAAAAAGGGGGTAAGTATACCTTTATTCTTTAGGAATAGAGAGGAAACAGCTTCCTGTAAACCTGGAAGAGAAATCATAGAACTTTTAAAAATAAGCTGAAACCACAGAGCTGATCTTGGTGATTGGTATCAGGAGTGGATACAGGAGGCCAGCATTAGGAAAACAGAGGGTTTCTGGCTGTTTGTGTTTTGTTTTGGGTACCGGGTTGAACTCAGGGCCTAGAGGCACTTAACCACTGAGCCACATCCTCAGCCTTTTTAAAAAAATTTTTGTATTTTATTTCAAGGCAGCACCTCACTGAGTTGCCGAGGCTGGCTTTGAACTCCTGATCTTCCTGTCTCAAGCCTCCCAACTGGCTTTTCCACATTTGGGATTATAGGTGTGTGCCACCACGTCTGGCCTGGGTGTTTCTTAAGGTCCTGCGCTCCACACATGGGCTCTCTAATGCTGCTCTACTGACCCTAATCTAAATGCAAAACTAGGGGAAAGTGCTTTTGTGAGTGCTGATCTTGGGTAGCTAAGTTCTCCTACTCTGCCTAAGGAATAAACACCCATCAGTCCCAGCTTCTCCTGAACTGCGAGTCATACAGGAAAGCATACCCCTTCTCCCCGCTCCTAGGGAGAGCTCATTTCTGGCTGAACCCAGGAAGGGACTGTCTCTGAGGCAGCAGGTCTCTAGCAGGCAGCTCTGAGCAGACAGTTAGTGGGGTCACAAGGCCTCCGACTACACAGCCTCTGATCCTGACCTACGGGTCAGTTCTGGGGAGCTGCACACCAAGCTCTGCCCTTTACAGGTATCAGTGTTCTTCCCACCAGCCCCTCAGGGCTAACTGGGTCCACTCACCCGACTCTAACCCTGGAACAGCCAAGTTTATTCATAAATTCTACAACCAGGGCAGGAATAATTTATTTGTAAGACAAGTATCCTCTAAAGAGTAACCCCTGAAAAAGACATCAATTGTAAGGCTCAGCCTTCAAAACAGATTACAACCTCAAATCAGCAAAGACAGGAAACAAGAAATATATTCTGAAAACAAGTTTGCCAAGAGGTTTAGGACAAAGAGCCAATAGAGAGGTCCCCTCCCCACCAAATTTAACATTTTCTTCCCCAAAACAGACAAGCATTCCCTTACCTGGAAAATCTGGGTCTTGTACCCTTTTCTGATTTTGCAGGCAATGCTAAGCCAGAATATTGAGGAGGAGGAGGAGGAGGAGCAGAAAGGAAGTGAGGGGAGGAGCTATCTAAACTTGCTTGTGCAAGGGACCTGCACACCTTATTCCTCAATTGCACCAACAGAATTTTCTGTAAGGATGGGATTGTCCTGTGTTGTCCAATCCAGAA